ATATCGGATATCGGCCAAAATCCCAATATCGTGCATCCCTAAGGGTTTGTTATGCACCTGTGATGGTTAGACTTCTGTTTACCAATAACTGATACATTTTCAGTTATTGGAGATAACTGAAAATCAATGGGAGTCAATACGTAGTTCTCAGTACATGTTTCAGAATGAGAATGTGTGTAAGGGTACGAGTTGGAACTAGAGAACGCATTAAAATATCAGACCCTAAAGGTACCAAGAAAACAAGGTCCTTCTCGCTATTCATGTAACCCACCCTGAACCTTGTACTCAGACTGAATGTGGATGTGCTTACCGCCTGATAGCAGTCATCCAGCAGCAGTTTGTATATTTGAGAAATGTAATTGTGGGGAACACAATTCTAGCATCCATCCTTCCAAAGATCCCTTATTAAAGGAGCTTTTCTGACGGATCTCTGCCTCTGGATGAAGTAAAAACTGCTACAGATTACATTTCCCACCGTCGTGCTTGAGTTGTTCTATCTGGATTGAAGTGCTTAGCTTTCTGCCAGAGGAGCAGACTCTCCTTTCCTGCACTCGAAGGGATCCGACAGCGTGGTGAATTAGATTAGCAAGGTGTGAGCTACAGCGCGCAGCGATGTTGGATTTAGCCTGCCTCTCTTCTCCATTATCTCTGAATGGAAGGCAGACAATTTGTCCTCATAGAGGCATCATTGCCTAAATTAGATCTTAGGCTGCTTCTGATGTGCTTTCATCACTAGAAATTCAGATGGAGGTTTTCTTTCCGAAGCCTGTGACACATTATGAACAAAATATGAACATGTCAGCTATTTTAAGCAGGACCTGATGTGTTTTAATACTCATTAGATTTATATCTAGATACAGTATGTTCTGAAATCTAAAACTGCAAAAAAAATGAAATCCAAAAGTAATTTTGTCTTTTTCTTTAATTGAGGAGGTAAGGGATTCACTTTGCCTATAGAACAAGACAATTTAAATTTAAAATAAAAAAATGCATTGTCTTATTTCAAGTGTATATTATCTAATTATCTTATTTTAAAAGTACAAATACTCATTGCATTGCCAAATCATCTTATTTACCTGCTCAGATTAAAAGGAAATGCACTTGACTTATTTCTAGATTACTTTTGCAGTAAACTTTAATATTTACAGTAGCACTGGAAAAACGATCTAGCAACAAGTAAACATGTCTTAATTAAGTGTATTTACCCTTAATTTGAGTACATAAATGAGTTTGCCAATG